AAAGGTCGATTGAAGTCTTCGTAATCAGAGCACCGAACCTGTGCCACCGATCCTGACTGGGTAGGCGCCCCCACGGTTCAATCCCAGCGAGAAACGTTTTTCTTCAATTTTCTGTCTCCATACCACTCCTCTTTCAACTACCTGCAAATTGCACCGGGTATCCCTATGAGGATATGAGTATTACAAGCTGGGTGAGTAGCGATCACCTGTAACCCATGCGGGGGCAAGATCTGTGTGGATGGTGTATCGTGCCCAGTGCCGGTCAGAGATCGGTTACCCGTCCCAAGGGGCCACTAAGTCTGGGTGGGACGACGGAAGTCATCACATCCGGGCATCTGAAGACGCGGGCACTGGCCAAGGCTGGGAACAGAGCAGGCAATACCGCGCGGTGGAACCAGTGAGGGTGGAAAGTGGCTGAGAGATCGGTAGCCTGGGCAATAACAGCGACATGCCAAACACAAGGATCGTTTTTTGTTTACTTGACGAGTAATAATCAAGTAATCTGGACTCCCTCTTGGACATAGATTTCAACGTTCTTGGTTCTATTCCTAGACTATCGTGAATATTCACGGTCGACTACTGTCATACTAACCAAGTTGTTCAGGTACTTCCCCATTGAGTATGAACATGAACGAAATATGCAATCAATGAATGGCTGTTGCGATGAAATCAATTCCATCGGGAGCGCATCTACGCTACCTCAAGATGCACTTAGTACAATCAGTTACGCAGGAACATAACGATAGGAAGACCAATCACGTCCGCATGACCAAAATTACTTCAACTTCGACGAATCGTGGATTCCTGCAAGCCCTGCAGACTTGCCGCCGCGGTTTCCATGCCTACGCATCGTCCTCTGTATGATTCCAACATTTGAGTATCATTGCTATCCTTCTTTTGCTTGTCCCCCTTTGTAGATATGGTCGACGTGAATTGTAGCTCCTCTGGGATCATCCTTTACCAGAGTCAAGACTATGGCTATGTTGCGTTAGTCACCTTCGGATGGACCAGTGTAGCCCCACAACCCTCAATGGGCAATGCCTGTCCCGCGAGTATCCGCCCTGGCACGACGCACGATCCGATCTTAGGAGCTACAGCTATACGCCAATTATCATTTGCAGAGAGGTGTGCTGCCTTACTGGTTGGATCATTGCTGTTTCGGCAGGCGGGTGGGTCTGCTCTATCATGGAAGAGTCCCGTCATTGAGCGGCTTGGATCAAGAACAAGTGCTGGTGTCGATACTGGAGGCGGCCAAGAGTGGGGACAAAGAGCTGGTAGGAGTAACGTCCACCGTCTACAATTGAGGGTTAGGTTATCGATTCGATGTCGAGGAAGCAGCTGTATCGGGCCGTTACGAGAGCCATACGGAGGGGCAGGGAGGAGTCCTCGAGATCAGGAGGATTCCTAGCGCTGGAGCTGCTCAACTTGAACTATCTGGCGGGATCACAACTG